GGTCTAGATTTTTCTAAGACAAGAGAGTCAGGAAATCACAACGGAAGATGAACTGTCATAAAAGGGACATTCTTGCTAGTGATTGTTAAGTCTCTTTTCCCCGCAAAGGAGCCTGGGCCGTGCTCCTTTCTGACCCCAAGCGGCCTGTTTCCCTCTGCTTGAATGTCCTGCCCCCACCAGAGGGAACATTCACTGTTTTCGGTTACCTACAAGCTATCCCCTTCTTTGATTTCTTCTGGAGAATCTTCTGTTAGCTTACACACATTGACATGATGCTGACCTTACTCCAGTCCCTGGGTTGGCCCTTACTGGCTGGCATTGACCCACGATGAATCAATGAGACTTTTGCTTACACTTTTGGGGTGCTCTTTTCCCTGAAGTCACTGAACAGAACTGATGAATGCAGCTTGGACCTGTGGTCACCACCATACCAGACAATACCCTGCCTAGACATGAAGAAAGTCAAGTGGAGAAAAGCAGGTCCTTACTGACACTGGCTCCTAGATCCAGCCATACCTGAAGCTAGATACTCTTTGTGTTCTCAGTTACATTTAGCTAATCAATGTTCTTTTTGAATAATCCATCTCAATTGGGTTTCTATCATCTGCAACCAAAACAGTTCTGACTAAAGCAAGATCTCACGGCCAGAAAGTGGCAGCATTTGGATCAAAGCCATGACCTTACCCACCCTATTAAACTGACACAATCTCCTGCTCTAAATGACGTCACTTCCCGATAATCCCAACAGCTGACATTTGCTCAGGGCTCGACAGCCCAGAAACTGCTCTCACACACATTACTTCAAAAAAAAAAAAAAAAAAAAAAAAATTCAGATATACTTCCCATCCCATAAACTGCACTCTTTGAAAGTACACAACTCAGTGGGTTTTGGTATATTCACAAGGTTGTGCAACCATGCCCACTATCTAATTCCAGAACATTTTCACCAACCCAAAGAGAAACCCTGTACTCATGAGTCTCTCCTACCTTCCCCCTCCTCCCAGCTCCTGGCAACCACTCGTCCGCTTTGTCTCTATGGGTCCCTCCTCTTCCCAACACACACCATCACTTTTAACTCCATAGGAACCTTATGAAGTCGCCACTAGAGAGAGGAGCCCTGGGCAGACCCTGGCGTCGCCTGCCCAGCCTCACATCCAAGCTCTGATGCTCCCTCGCTGTGTGACCCGGGGCAAACCCCTTAGCCTCTCTGAGCCCGGGTTTCTTCATCTGCGTCATCTGATAAGCTTGATCCGGGACTGAATGAGTCCCTGCATCTAGATGCTGCGCAGTCAGTGCTCTAGGAATACCAGCTGTTTCTGTCATCATCCCTCCATGTTAGTGATGAGGACAGTCAGGCGCAGAGGGGTTAAGGGGCGTGCCCAAGGCCACACAGCACAGGTGGCTGGACCCCAAGTCTCCTGACTTTTTCCATTACACCACACTGGCTCAGCTGTTCCTCCACGAAAGCTCGGCCCTCTCCACACGCTTTGGGCCAAGTTACTTCTGAGAAAACCAAGGCGACTTGCCAGACAGGAGGGAGGGGAGGGTGGAATCATGAAATCATCTAACTTTAGGGTGTTGCAGCCCCACACGGGCTGGCCTCCTTGCCTCGTCCTTGGGAACAGCTGACTCTGGGTCCTGCCCTCTGGGCTGCGGGGGTGGGAGGCAGGCCATGTCTAGGGTGGCGGGGCCCTCTGGAATTCCACGACTCTCCCATTCCAGCTGCCCATCTGGGACTCTTTAAAGCGGCTGAAGCCCTGTCTCTCGATGACTGTTTCAGGAGGGCAGTCCGAGGCCGCTATTTATGTTACAGCAAACCCCCAATTATTACCAAGTATGCTGAGTGGGACAGAAAACCTCACTTTCAAGTTCTGGTGGAAATAAGAAAGTTGAGTCAGAACAGAAGAGTGGAAGGGACACAGGCTTTGGTCCAGGGAGCCCTGGGGCAAGCACCCCCAAACAACGTCACCTCGGGCAAGTCCCGTCTGAGCAGAGGGACAGCAGATGACAGTTAACACGCTTACTGAGCAAGGCACAACTCTGTCCTACTACATGCATGAGGCAAAGGCTTCCGTTCTTAATATGCAGATGGAGAAACTGAGGCTCGGAAACATATAGAGGTGTCGTCAAGCTGAAACCTAATGAGGCAAAAAGCTGAGACCTGAACCCAGGTCTGTCCAACTGGGAAGTCACGGTGTGAAGCCTGGGCAATCCTGCGATGGGGAAGTGCAACCTCCTCACACCTGCCATTTCCCTGTGTGCCTCCAGGCCTCCCCAGCCCCTCCTGAACCTCCTCTTCCAGCGCACGTGGTCCCCATGACCCCACCTCTCCGGCCACAGCGGACAGGCATGCATGGACTGTGCCCCAGGACCGGCAATCAGATTCTCAATCCTGGAGACCGGAACCGGCGCCTAGAAACCCCAGTGTGTTGACAACAGGGAAGGACACTCCACTCGGGGAACGTTTGGGGAACGCGAGCCAACAGGCAAGTGGAGGATGCTGGTCCAGAGAGGCTGCTGGGAAAAGGAAGCAGGCTCCACGCAGATCCCGGGGCCACAGTGACACCTGGTCAGGGAGCTGCCGGTTCTGAGCCCGCAGGGCCAGCTGCATTTCCTGCTCTGGGTTTCATGGGGCACACCTGCCTCTTCCATCACTCCGTCCCGCTCCTCTCTTCCTGTCTGAGCCGGCTGAGTGGGCGTCTGCTCTGTGGGAGTCGGTAACTCCCGAGAGAGCAATCATGCCTGTCACTGTTCTCTGCCCGGTGTCCTTTTTTTTTTTCCTTCTTCAAACAAAAGGAAGTTTATTTGAAAAATAGACAGACTCCCTGCAGCAGGGAGTGCCCCTGTGGGTTGCCCCTGTGTCCTTTCTTGGAGGCGTCACGCAGGCAAGAGGCCTCTGAAAACAAAATACAGGTAGCCCTCCCTGTGCAGACCCTCAGAGCATGAAAAGTCAGTCTAGCAACCTGCGAAATGTTGACCCAACTTTCACTCTCTGAACGGAAGACCTGCCCTATGGATTGGCCTAAACTCCATGGTCTGGGGACGAGGGTGTGGATCTCGGTCGTTCCCACGCAGGACTGTGCCTCCTGCTCATGGCATTGGGCATCACCACTGTCATCTGCCTGTCCTCTCCCTCGGGGCTCAGACCTCCCCTGGCCTGGGTTTGCTCCAGCCACGTCCATTTCAGATGCTATCTGAGCATCTTTAACATACAGACTCGTGTATTTACATTCAGGACATGTTTGCTGCAGACGAGAAGAAAAACATAATTTGTGTATGATCCTGTTTGACTCTGTTACACAGTGACCACAAAACATCACAGCATCCATTACATTTTACATTCTTAGGCAGTAACTGGCGTCGCAGTTGCTTCACGTTACGCAGTGACTCCCGGCAGTTATGTAAACCAGTTAGGAGAGCTTTTTCCTCTCCCTTGTCCCTTGAAAAGGATGGAACAGAGGCTCTGAATACTGTCTGACATTTTCAGGAACAGATTAGGTCCGTACATCTCAGAATGCCTGTGGTTGATATCACTCAACTTTCAGAGAGAACATGAGGCTAGGAGACAGGCTGGTGAGTGGAGGACAAGGGCTGTCTTCTGATGGCTCAACAATGCCCACTTTACATCTGGTCACAGCTGTTCTCTCCAGGTCTCAGCCTCCACCCCCTGACCCCAGGGGCAAACAAGGGCCTAGATAAGCCCACTGGCCACCTTATTCCTTAATCACATTGACAGACTTAGAGACAAGCCTATGAAACACAACCCCGTGTCTCCTGGAACTTCTGGGAAGTAACCTTTCACTCTTTCTTGCTGATTGTGTGCCCAGAGCATTTTGCAATCATGTGGGATTTGAGGACAAAGTCGACACTATGGAAGTAGAAATGTAGAATGAGGGGAAAGAGCTGGGTGAAAGGACACAGTGGAAAACCCTGGATCAAGCTGTGCCTGAAGCCCACAAGATTTCTTCTCCTAGGACATTCAGTTACACAGGCCAAAACATCCCCATTGACTTTAAAGCTTAGTTTGAGTTGGGTTTCTGTTCTGTCCCTTGCAATGAAGCATCCTAAATGTCACAGAGGAAAGGGAGACAGTCAGCTCAGGATGAGTTCCTCACTACACAGCAGGGAGGGCTCTCTGGTTCAGGAAGCCGGGCCAGTTCCCACCTCCTCCTGAGGCCTGTGTTTTCTAAAGAACTTCATCGTCATACTGGGCACTGTGACTTGTCACACAGACACACTTGCTTTGAGCCGCTGACCTTTAGTGACATTAAGATAAAGCTACTGTTCCACAGATTACAGTTCTTTTACCCTAGAGGGGGCGGGCTTATAGCAAGCTGTCCACATTTGCCAGGCACCGGATGAGACTGGTGGCACTCATGGTTGTTAGTTCATTTACTAATTCATTCATTTGTTCACCAAATGTGACTGGACACATCTGAGTCCTTGAATAAAACACAAGTTCAAGACCTGCACTCCAAAGCCACGCAGATTTCCAGGTCATGATCCACTCTGGAGCAGCCTTTCTTTTATTCGGGAAATATTGACTATCAAACATAAGGCTATAAAGCACATTACTTATGTCCCCAAAGTGATGGACTTTTTTCTTTTTTCAATATGGAACGCTCCACAAATGTGCATGTCATCCGTGTGTAGGAGCCATGCTCCTTTTTCCGGCATTATTCAGATTTTAGTGTATGTGCTGCTGAAGTCATTTTCTTTATCTTTATGGCTGGAAGTATTACAGATGTTCCCCCTTCCATCCCCCATTGACCCCCTCCTCACACTCCCACTCCCCCTGCCTTCCCCACACTATTGTCTGTGTCTGCTGGTTATGCCTATAGGCATGTAAGTTCTTTGTGAAGTCATTTTTAATCCTGGGAAATAGAAAAGAACACTGTACATCCACTGTGGGGAGGGTCTGGGCTCTGAAGTCAAAACGGAAAGTAAGTCCAATTAAACTCTTTCCTACCCAGCAGCTCACTGGAGCCCCGAGTCCTTACCTGGAGATCAAAGAATTTGCTGTAGCGCCGATAGATGGCCTCGGTGGAGCCACTGGACCACGTGACGCGGATGATGTAGACCTGAGGAGAGCAGAGGACACAGGCGTTAACGCCAAGGGGCCCTTGACTCTAAGATTCAGAGTCAGCAAGACCTGGGGTTGCCTCTCAGCTCTGCCACCGACCAGCTGTACAACTTGGAACAGGTTCCTTGTTCCCTCCGAGCCTCAGCTTGTCCCTCAATAAAATGGGTATACTGACCTGCCCCTCTGAGAGGCACGCAAAGGGCTGCATGCAACCAAGCGCGGGAAGGCGTCAGCACCCTGCTGTTATTTTTAGCAGTGCAAGGAGTTCTTGCTCCCCACTCAGTTCAGAGTGCCACGGGCTATTTCACCAGAGTCCCTCTTGAAACTTGGACTTTTGTCGAAGCCACAGGGACCTGCCGCTCTTAGCCTCCTTGTATGTCTCATAAGCTAAGCTGTCACACCGCTTCCTCAATTAGGGCCCGGTCAAGCCACCTTCTCTGAGTGCCAGTTTCTCCGTCTGTGAACTGGGCCACCAGCATCTGCTCAGTGTGACAGCGTGAGGATCTGATGAGATCGAGACGGGAACTGCTTTATAAACCGCAGGGCCAGCCCTGGCCGGTTTGGCTCAGCGGTTAGAGCGTCGGCCTGCGGTCTGGAGAGACCCGGGTTCGGTTCCCGCTAAGGGCATGTACCTCGGTTGCAGTTTGTCCCCGGCCCTGGTTGGTCGTGCGGGTGGCAGCCACTTGATGTGTCCCTTTCACGTCGATGTCTCTCTCTCTCTCTCTTTTCCTCTTTCTCCCTCCCACTCTATCTGAACAAAAAATGAAAAAATGTCCTTGGGTGAGGATAAAAAAATAAATAAAATAAAAAAAACCGCAGGGCCACGTTCCAACCTCTGCCACACATCACAGCACACACAGAGAAGAACACCCTGACGACAAATTCAGGCAAACTGAGGTGGCAGCAGGAGGTCAGAGGCACCTGCTGGGGACTCTGGTGGCCCTGGACACCACCTGGATGCTCAAAGGCTAAGTGATCAGCACACCCATAACCCATTCCTGGCTTGCACAAATAACCTGTTGTTATAGGGTAGTTGTGACAATTAGAAAACACAGGGTAGCCCTGGCCGGTTTAGTTCAGCGGTTAGAGCGTCGGCCTGCGGTCCTGAGAGACCTGGGTTCGGATCCCGCTAAGGGCACGTACCTCGGTTGCAGTTTGTCCCCGGCCCTGGTTGGGTCGTGTGGGTGGCGGCCACTCGACGTGTCCCTTTCACGTCGATGTCTCTCTCTCTCTCTCCCTCCTACTCTATCTGAACAAAAAATGGAAAAAATGTCCTCAAGTGAGGATAAAAAAACAAAACAAAACACAGGGTGGGGCACAAGTAGGTTTACAGTTGTGAGTATGAAAAACACAAAGTTTAGCCCTGGCCAGTATTGCTCAGTGGTTAGAGCACTGACCCACGGACTGAGAGGTTACAGGTTCGATCCCTGGCCCCAGTCTGAGTTGTTCAGGAGGCAACCAATCAATGTGTTTCTCTCACATCAATGTTTCTCTCTCTCCCCCCCTCCCTCCCTCCCACTCTATCTAAAAATCAATGGAAAAATATCCTCACGTGAGGATGAACAAAAAAGCAAAAACAAAAAACCCCGCCAAGTTTATTCTTGTATTATTATTTACTAATTATTGCATCATTTCCCACAGAACAACTGTACTTTTGCCCCACCCCGTACATGTGTGAAAGCTGTTTGCAAACAGAAATGCTCTTTAAACACGAGGGGCTCAGTGCTGGTAGAGGCCATGGGGGCATGCAGGCAGCGCCCAGCATGGACTAGCCTACCTTCCACCCAGAGCACCTTGATTTTCTTCTGAAACCTCCTCCCCCCCCTCAGCACAGGTTCTTAGATACAGAGGTGGGTACTGTTCCTTATCTGTGGTAGTTGGTTGAAGAGCGGGCACACGACCTACGCTGGGCCCACCAGAGCCAGTAAGAGTCGGCCCTGAGACTTTTGTTCCAATTCTCAAGAAGTCCAGAAAATAACTTATCAAAGGTTCCCCTCACTGGGGGATGTTTAAGCAAAGTCTGGAGGATCATCTATTAAGAAAAATGCCAATATGGATTAAAAAAACAAGAAAAAGCCCCAGCCAGATGGCTCAGTTGGTTGGAACAGCATCCTGTACCCCAGAAAGGTTGCAGATTCGATCCTCAGTCAGGGTGTGTACGGGAGGCAACCAATCAATGTTCCTCTCCCTTTCCCTCGCTCTCTCTTTCTACCTCTCCTTCCCTTCCTCCCTCCCTCCCTCCCTCCCTCCCTCCCTCCCTCCCTCCCTCCTTTCTTCTTCCTCTCTAAAATCAATGAAAACATATCCTTGGGTGAGGATTAAAAAAAATAATAAAGTTAAAAAACAACAGAAAAAGAAAAGGTCATCAAAGATTTTATGTGTTCTTAAAACCAACAAAAAGCATACACCCATAAATGGAAAAAGAAAATTCTGCTTACACAATCCATTCTTGGTCCCTTGCTTACGACTTTTAAAGTTTTGTACGTACAGTACAAGAACTGTGCAGCAGGCCTAATTGGTTTACTGGAACCAACCTCTGAACACGAGTTGATGGTCTGCATTTTTTAGGCGCAGACCTAATTTTTTAATGAGAATTGTCCCTGTGTTTTCTAATTTTTTAATTGGCTCTGCCCAGCGTTTGGGGGCTGATGGAAGAGCATGCTCACTGGGTCCCAATGCCAGTTCTGCTGCTGGGCAAGACTCAGATGGTACCGACCTCTCTGGACACAGTGTCCCTTTCTCTAAAACAAGGACAATAACCTCCCCTGAGGAGTCACTGCAGTGACTAACGTGCATGGGGCCTTGCCCAATGCCTGCCACACTCGGCCTGACAGCAGTTGTCCACTGTTCCTGCCTGTCTGGGACCCGGCCCCTGCCTTTCTCCTTCTTTTGGTAATAGCACCTGATTTCCTTGGAGGTTCGACCCTTCCCCTCCCCTCATCTTTGTGAGAGGGAATGGGTACAGGTCCCAGGGCTGGCCAAGCAGAGTACTGCCTGTCCCTGGCCACACGAGACTCAATTCTGGGACTTCTGATGGCACTATCAGAGGAGAGACCCTCTTCCCGCTGCAGTGGCTGCTGGGAGGAGAACGCCGCGCCAGGAGTCACTGGTGGGAAGCACCTGCACGCAGAAGCAAGCAGACTGAGAGGCACAGAGGGATTGAGTCCCGTGACATCATCCAATCCTGGATCCAGCATCCTGGACATGTCACAACACAAGCCTAAACCTTCCCTTTCTCGTTTAAGCCAATGAGATAGTTTCTGTTACTTGCAACCTAAGCAATCCTAACACATCAACCCTGGCTTCCAGATAATATCTCAAACCAAGTGGCCTGGCGTTAAGAAATGAAATGCAGACTTCTTCATGGCAGCCAAAAGGTGGAAATAACCCAAGGGCCCACTGGTGGATGAATGAATAAGCAAACTGTGGTCCATCCAGACAATGGAATATTACTCAGTCTTGAAAAGGAAGGAGATTCTGATACATGCTCCACGAATGAACCTCGAGGACATTACGCTAGGGAAATAAGCCAGTCACCAAAAGACACATATTATATGATTCCACTTATGTGAGATACCCAGAGTAGTCAGATTCAGAGACAGAAAGTAGAATGGCGGTTGCCAGGGGCTGGGGGAGGGGAACGGGGAGCTGTTCCATGGATATGGGGTTTCAGGCTGGGAAGGATGGTGTTGAGGAGATGGTCGCGCAACAATGTGAATGAATCACTGAACTGGACACTTAAAAAACAGCTGGAAAGGTAACATGTATGTTATGTACATTTTATCACAATTTAAAACAATAATTTTTTAGGAAGTTGATTTCCTGGAGCAGATCTATACAGCCATGGTCATGTTCCCTTGGTAATGACACTACAACTTTCTTCATGGAAAGCTCTGGAAACACAGGCTGCCCATCTATAAAGGACTTATACCCAGAGTCTATCTTTAAAAATTCTCTGGCCGATTTGGCTCAGCGGTTGGAGCGTTGGCCTGCGGACCAGAGAATCCCAGGTTCGGTTCCCGCTAGGGGCATGTACCAAAAAAATAAAAAATTAAAATTAAAAATAAATAAATAAAAATTCTCAAAACTCGCCCAGCCTGTGTGGCTCAGTGGTTGAGCGTTGTCCCATGAACTGAGAAGTTCCCATTCAATTCCGTCAGGGCACATGCCCAGGTTGCAGGCTCGATCCCCAGTAGGGGGCGTGCAGGAGGCAGCCAACTGATGTTTCTCCCATTGATGTTTCTATCTCTCTCTCCCTCTAAAAATATCAATAAAAATATATTTAAAGAAAAATTCTCAAAACTCAACAGTAAGGAAATCACCAACCTGATTACAAGATGGGCCAAAGATGTGAATAGATACATCATCAAAAAGGATATAAGGGAGGCAAGTAAGTACACGAGATGTTCAACATCAGGAGCCGTCAGAGAAAGGCACACTGAAACCATGACGAGATGTCCCCACGCATCTATTAGAAGGGCCAAAATACAAAATACTGACAAATACAAGTGCTGACAAAAGTGTGGGGCCATTGGAACTCTCACGCATTGCTGGTGGCAAGGCAAGACAGCACAGCCCCTCGGGCAAGGTCACTGATGGACAGTGACCCACTGGCTAAAAGGCTGCTGGAGAACAGGATAGTCGCACAGGGTGGAAGTTGTCACCCACGAGTGCATTCCCAGCAAAGGGAAAAAAATGTAGCTTCTCACCCTGACCAGTTTGGCTCAGCGGTTAGGGCACTGGACTAAGGACAGAAAGATTGTGGGTTTGATTCCCAGTCAAGGGCACATGCCTGGGTTGCAGGTTCAATCCCTGTCCCCAGTTGGGGTCATGCGGGAGTCAACCAATCGATGTGTCTCTCTCACATTGATGTTTCTCTCTCTCCCTCCCTCCCTCCTTTTCACTCTATCTAAAAATCAATGGGAAAATATCCTCAGATGAGGATTAACAAAAATTAAAATTAAAACATGTAGCTTTTTTGCCCTGGCCGGTGTAGCT